TTAACCAAGTTATAAAAAATACATCAACGTCCTTGACAAATTAGTTTTATTAAAGTTTTCGTAAAATATATCATGATAGTACATTTATTTGAACTTGTAGATAATAGTAGATTTCTGAAAACTTGCTTAAAGTTCATGAGATTGGACTTAGGGCAAGACTAGATTATTGATCTCTTGTACGTGTTAGTATCTATATCTACCTTATGCACAATCAACTAAGTTCTAAAGAATAATATGTACCTTATGCATGCACAATCAACTAAGTTCGAATAATTTTAGTTGTTGTTAGTTGTTCTTGTTTTGATTTTTGAGCAAGGTGCATAGTAAAAGAAAATCAATAGGGTCTACTTGTTGAACCAGAAAACCCCTGAAATTATCGACAAGTTTATATAAACTAACCCGATATGAACCAACAAGACACAAAATCACTAAGGGCTTGTTCGGTTGATTCGGAATAGGGCTCTGGAATAATTCCTAGCAGAAATAATTCAATAATTTGTACTAATCTTAAGAAGCTGAAATTGTTCCTGGTGCAATCTTAGGAAACCGAACAGGCCCTAAGGGGTGTGGAGGGGAATCAAACTTTGGTCTACTATAGTTTGGGCATTGGAGTTGTATCTGGTGATCATCTCACTTGATTTGTTGCTTTTATCGACAATGGCAATTTGTAAGCCCAGTTCAACAGATTGAACCACGTGACAACCACCAAATAGGGAACCAATAGGATATGAACGGTTCAATAACCAGTCTAGCCTTTTGTTCATTGTAATTAGGCCTTCCACAATGTCGAGTGAAGCTAGAAAAAATGAAGGTCCACATGTGAGAATCCAGTATCACTCCTGCTAGGCCAGAACTTCGGTATCCATTGTGGGTCCCATATATAAGACATTAGAAAAAAAAATAAAAGCAAGCGCCAGTCGCCGTATCTAATCTGTTTCGCGAGAGAATGGCTTGTTGAAATTTGGTAATGGTATAACCGGGGCAGAGCCGCAAAGCTCGTTGCAGACTTCAACGCAGTCTGGTGACCCAAATAAAGAGGGTTCCCTTTTGGCCTTCTTGAGCAGTTTTAAGCCTTCTTGAGCAGGTTGACGAGGAGCTTTGCAATAATGACAAAGTGTCCCGCAAACTTGCTAAAAAAAACAGCAAGACCCAAGAAGCTGCGGAGTGCTTTCACAGTGGAATTGTTGGATTGTTCAGCATTTTCACTATTCCCTCTCGGGGACAAATGAACGAATTTTCTTATATGGACACAAAATAATCGTATCTGATCTATTTTTATATACTTTGAGACCTTACGCGAATTCAATCCTAGCTAAGGTCTGGTTTAGTTCCTAAAAATTTTCATCCCAAACTATCACATCGAATCTTGCGGTACATGTACGGAGTATTAAATATAGACGAAAAAAAAACTAATTGCACAGTTTGGTTGGAAATCGTGAGACGAATGTTTTAAGACTAATTAGTCCATATTAGCCATAAGTGCTACGGTAACTAATATGCGCTAATGATGGATTAATTAGGCTTAATAAATTCGTCTCTCGGTTTTCAGACGAGCTATGTAATTAATTTTTTTTATTAATATCTGAAAACTTCTTCCGACATCCCCAAAACATCCGATGTGACGTCCAAAAATTTTCGTTTCACGAACCAAACACAGCCTAAGTAACACGTACGGAGTACATCATACGTACAAGACTTTTAGGCAGGAGACGGCTCTGCATCCCATGAATCAGAGCCCAGAAAGCCCCATCGTCCGTCTCGATGTGCCCACCGTCGACCTCCTCCTCCTCCTCGTCGCCGATGTACAAGTACGGGTTCTTCTCCTCCGGCTTGAAGGTGTAGAAGACGAACAGGTAGAAGGCGAAGCTCGCGGCCTCGACTGCGACATCGACTCCCCACCGGTACCTGTAGTTGAGCAGCGCGAGGAACGCTGACACGATGATCCGGGTGAAGTAGAGGTAGCCGACGACGACCAGGTAGAAGCGCTTGAAGAGCGTGAGCTTCTTGAGGTTGCGCGCCGCCTTGCCGTCGGTCCTGGAGGCCTCGCGCAGGCCCCGGATGGACCAGAGGATGGGGAAGATGACGGCGCAGCAGCAGATCACGTCGACGAGCAGGAAGACCCGGGTCCACGCGATCCAGCCCCACCGCGTCGGGCCCGTCTCGCCGATCACCACCAGCAACAGGTTCTCCATCACTTGCAGCGGGATCACGATCATCAGCACGCTCTTTTCGCGCTCCTGGAGGTAGGGTTTGAGGAAGGACCAGCCGGTGCCGATGAGGACGATGACGGTGAAGAGCAGGACGCCCTTGAAGAAGCCGAAGACGTAGAACGCGACGTCCCAGCCGTGCGACGTGCCGGTGCGCTCGATGAACCACGCGTCCTCGGCCGCGCACGCCGACTTGAGCGCCTTGAACAGAAGCAGCGCGCCCATCACGGCGTGGATCCGCTCCGTCGTGGCATGCTGCCGGACGCACGTCCACACCCACCCGGCCAGGAACGCCAGGTACACCGCCGCCACGCCCGCGTAGATGCCCGGCAGCGGCTGCAGCCCGACGGGGAGGTAGTCCCTGATGATCCCGCCGCCGGAGGCGTCGCGGCGCACGTTGTACATCTCGGTGCGCACGTCCATGGTGACCTCCACGCCGCCCTGGCAGTTGCTGAAGACGACGGCGTACGCGTCGGGGTAGTCGATGGTCACGGTGGTGGTCACCCCGCCCGGCGGGACGTCGCTGAGCCGGAGCATCGGGAGCGCGTAGTCGCTCGTCAGCAAGCAGAACCTGCCGCCTCCTTCCGGATCGGCGGCGTAGTACTGTGTCTGGTTGTTGATCCCCGGGAACTGGGCGCCGGCGATGAGCACGAACCCCATGAGGCTGGAGTCGACGCTGGTGAGGCGTGACGACCCCGGACGGAGCTGCCACGTCGCGCGGCGTATGGAGACCGCCGCTCGCGAAGCCAAACTCCTCGAAGAAGATGATCGGCCTGGCGTCGGACACGATGGGCGCTATCTTGATGTCGGCATGGGCAACCCACACGAGGAGAGCGGCGGCGGCGACAGCCACCGCGACGGCGACGGCGGTGGTGTCCATGGAGTTTGCCCGCGAATGTAAGTGCATATCGTCATGCAACTCTAGCTGTAGATCGATCGTCGTGCATGCATCAATATCTCAGACTGTTCGTTCGAGAACAGGAACCATTCACCATTGTGGCACGTGCATGGCGCTCGCTCGGGGAACAGCGGCAATGGCCAATGGAGATGGACAAGCGGCTCATCGATGAGCATGGCGCGTTTTAGGGAGGGCCACGGAGGAAAGGCATACTTGCCGTAGGCGAATGTCGTCGTTCAGAAATTAATTAGCGACTATAAGTAGGAGAATGTCGTACCCTCCGGCCCCAAAATGAAAAGGAGGCAAAATACATTACATGCCGTATAGTACAAGAGCAGAAGACAACGAACCACATTACATATATGAGAAATCCTCGAACGCAGTTGCCTGAGAGACTGCATGCTGGACAGTGCTTGTGAGAGAGACCGGGCCGGGAGTGGGGGCGTGGTCTGCGACTGTGACAGAGACTGGGCAGCGAGCCAGGATTTGAAACTTGGGTATTTCTACTCTCATCTCATAAAAAAATCGAATTCATAGGTTTAAAATATTTGGGAAGCAAGACCGAAAGGCTGATTTTTTTCCTTTTTTGGGCTAAATTGAGTGGAAATGCTATACAGAATGTTGTATTATATGTATATATATGGAGAGTATATTCAGTAGCCAGCTACAAAATAAGTTATTCTGTAGCCATCTCTATTTACGATAATTTTATATACTAATTTACGATAATGTCAATACGTATTTACGATAGTTGGGTTAACACATGGAGATATTTACCATAATGTTATAGTAAACCACTTAGTAAGGAGTTACTATAATCTCGTAAATTAACATAGTAATTATCGTAACTCAAAGTGGCTACAAAATAAGTTATTTTGTAGCCAACTACAAAGTAATATATATATATATATATATATATATATATATATATATATATATATGTCCCAAAATAGTTGGGTATTCCCGGGAATACGGGGGAATACCCTTGAATCCGCCCATGGCAGCGATGCTGTATGCTGGGCAGAGGCGGAGCGCCGGGATGCATGCTGGGCAGCGATACGCTGCCGAGAGACGGACGGCCGCGGCGCGACGGCTGTGAAGGTGACTGATGGATTATCTTTTCCATCAGTCACCTGCTGAGATACTCCCTACATACATAGGTACTATAAACAGCACATGATTACTCAGTAAAACAAATTGTCTGACACGACATTACCTGTACCAATACTTCATGAGTCATTAACCTAAAACAATATGGAAACCGAAAACTAGGCAAGGGATATAGTACTACTATTATCTAACAAGGGAGTACGTAGTAGTATGTGAGTTTGCACACACATCAAGCAAACTGATCACTGGAGCATCAAGACGAGACCAACAACCGTAGCCATTGCCGCCGCGATGGCGACGCCGGTGGCGGCGGCGACGGCTGTGCCAACACCGGAGGAGGCGTTGGAGCACGAGCACCCCGACGGCCTGGGACGCCCGCCGCCGCCGCCGTGGCTCGCGCCCGGCTGTGTCGTCGGAGCTCCAGGCGCGGAGGCCGCCGAGCCGGGGGCCGCGGCCAGGGGCGGGTGCACCCTGACGCGCACGATGAGCCTCTGGCCTTCCTCGCAGTGCCCCGCCTCGCCGCTGATGAAGCAGAAGAAGCCCGGTCGGTCGAGGCGGAACTTGGTGGCGCCGTCGGCGAACGCGGCGAGCAGCTCGCTGGCGTTGCACGCGTCGAAGGCCAGGCGGTCCACCACCAGCACCGAGTCGTTGGCGTACTTGAAATCTGCAAGAGGATCGGATCAACCATATATACGCAGCCGTTATCACACACTTGCATCGCATCAATGCATCATGCATCATGAATGGTGAAAGTGAAATGGTTTCTTAGGCTTCTAGCTACTCACAGAGGTGGTCGCCGACGTGGAAGCGGTTGTTCATGGCCCACCAGTCGTAGCTGGTGTTGTCGTCCGGGACGCGCCACCCGCGCGGCCCGCCCACGCGGAACTCCAGCCCCGCGGGCGGCGCGGCTGCTGCCCCCGCGGCGACGCCGCCGGGAGCAACGAGGAGGAAGAAGACGCCGGTGAGGATCATCAGCGCGGGGAGAACGCGGGAGCTTCCGGCGGCCGCCGCCATGGATCTAGCTTGCACTTGCAGCAGCGGTGTGCTGTCACGGTGAGAGCGACGAGGTCGAGAAGCATTGAGCCTCTGGTTCGGGGGAGTGGCTTGGTGCTCTCGCGCGCTTGGTGTTGCGTGGGGTGGAAGTGGAATGGAATGGAACTGCAGGTGCGGCCGCGTTTTAGCTAGTGGGGCTTGCAGGCTCTGTGGCGAGGGGGAGCGCGGAACCGAGGACGTGGGCAACGAGCCAGGGGCGGCGGCAGTTAACGCTCTTCATGGCACCATCGCTGGCTTGCCAACCTTGATGATCCACGCGCGCACTGCAATCGTGCAATGCATGGCGCCATGGCGGTGAGTGGTGTCCTCCGAGCTGGAAAGGCCTGTCCATGGGAAAGTTATTTTTGCCTAGACTATTTCCGACAACAACAACATTTAAAATACAAGACTCATTCGATATCTAGGTAGCGCTATAGATAAAGAGTTTAATACTTATTTTTTATGTTCTTCAACAACAGAACCCAAAAGAGAACTATTTTTGTAAAATGGGTTTCCTGGAGAGATAATGCTCATATTTTAGTTAGGCATCTCCTGCTAAAAAAAAATAGATTTCCCGTATAGATAATATGTTAGAGGCTAATATAGTACCATTGAAGACCCATTTTAGGTTTAGACATCCTTATGGAAACTCTGTTCGAGGTAGTATAAGGGTATGTGCCCCATGAGATTCACTCTCCTGTTGCACACACATCCCAATATACATCTAACGATGATGCACATGAGAGCATATGCCCTTAAGGGCAAGTTTTCTGCGTTCATCTGTCCATAGGGAGCTACAGGATATCTAGCACTATATTTAAGTCCTATGTTCGTAAGTAATTATCTAACGTCGAGAGAACATATCATAACTTCTCCTAAATTTATACAGCAGTCTTCTAAATTTATACATGTCGCCGTGAATCGACAGGTGTCCATAGCTGCTTTATAAATAAGGATTGGACATTGTTCCCACTAAATTTCTTTTCCACATCTCACAACTTTCAGCGTCCGACAGTGCTTAGCATCGAATCCGAGATACGACGAACGCATAGGGGGTCCTCCTAGGTGCAGTGATAGGTGAGCAATATTTTAACTCTAGATAGTTTTTTTACGAATTATATAGTACAAACACAGACATTCACGCGCACGTATACACGAACGCAATGGGAAGAAGACTGAGATGATATTATACATCTCAAGGTTGACGAAATTGTTATAACCACCTTGCTGTCGACAGACATGCCTCTATGATTATCGTAAAATAAATTTAGCGACATGAGACATTGTTGGATGAAAAAAGGATTCTAATATAGATTAAATGATCTTTTTATTAATGTTTGACCGAGAAATAAAAAAACAAAAAATTGATTTTTTTTTTAAGTCGGCGCATATATTGACAATTGAAGACTATCAGCCTGTTCGCTTGTTGGTTTCAACCAGCCCAAACCAGCCAGCCAACAGTGTTTTTCTCTCAAAAAAACCAGCACCAGCCAGCCCAAACCAGCACCAGCACCAACCAGCGAACAGGCCCTATAGATGTGTAGAATTTGTTGAATGTATTCTATTTGATTACTTAAGTTTGGATAAAGAAAAGTTATGCTTGCCGCAATGGGAAGAAATGAAATCTCTACACTAACTCGGGCTACTGTAGCCGACTAATTTGTGACACTAACTTTTTCCCCGATGGGCCTAATAGATAGTGTGTTTCGTGGGCCCAAATTACGTTTCCTAGGGCAACTAATTTAGTGAAGCAAGGTTACATGTCGCTTCTGTGTTATATCACCAAGGAAATCAGATCTGTGTGGTTCGTGCGCCCAAAGTTAACGTTTCCACTCACAAAGGGCCATGGCCTCATGGATCTAATGGACTGGGCTAGGCAGATTTGGGCTTCATCAGAACATTAAAAAATATGTACCTTGTTTATTTGCTGTTCAACCTAGATCAGGAATATATATGGACTTTTGCTATTTATGTGTTGACAGATTTTTTTTACTAAATTTCTCAGATTTTTATACGTTTAATTGTGCTTTAGAATTTGTGCTACAATTGTCTATTGGGTCACATGTATAAAGAATCTGACAAATTTGATCACAAAAAATTTATGGACAGATAACTAGACACTCCCATATATATATATATATATATATATATATATATATATATATATATATATATATATATATATATATATATATATATATATATATATATATATATATGCATGATAATAATTGTGTAGGTAATAACCATACGTGGTAGATGCTCCTGGCGGCCCTACAAAATTTGTTTCGATCATTTAGTACGTATATAGTAACATTTATTTAATCACGAAGTTGTTCATGACCTACACTTACAGGGTCCCTTTCTAAGTCGCTATCGTTAATTGGCACCTAGAGCATTATCATTGTTATTCTTTGTTAACGAAATCTTCTCTGTACCCAAGACGGGGCACACGATCTGTGTCTGCTTCCGGATTCTAGCTTCTAATTTTAAGCAAAACAAGATCTACGGATTCTTGGATGGAGACTACTCTACGAAATTCCTTTTTTTTAATGCTTTCATACGCTCCTAGCCGGAATCCCTTGTTTGTGCTGTTTCCCACTGCATTCCAACGTAAGTTGATCGGAATATTTGTTATTTGTACATAGGTCTCTGATATGCCTGATTAGGCTGCTAACAGTTTGCTATAGGTGTCAAGATTCGTTCATCCAGAAGGCTCTCGGAGATGTGTATATAGACCATTTTTCCAAATCGATATGAGCTCTGTTGACGAGAATTTTGCGTCTCTTCACTTCAGCAACCAGAATGTCAACCCTCGGAGCTCTACTCCTCCTCAGCTTCAGATTCCTTGAAAACGTCTTGTCCGCCGATTATGTTCTCGCGACGGAAAATATAACCGTATCTCGGCTGTCATGCATCAAAGTGTTAGGTTTGATCTCCCACCCCAACGGCCTTTTGGGCCTTGTTCTCGCGCCCTAATCCGGGGCGCCCAACCCTACTTGGTTGGTGGGCTCCCGTCACACTGCGCTATAAATAAAGGTGGGGGCCGGCAGGCTCTTGATACGAGGTTTATCTGAGCCGCCACTCCCCACCGATATTCTCCATCCCGATCCGAGAGGAGCGCAGCCAGTGACGGAAAGCCGCCACCGTCTCCACTGCGCCACCACTTCACTGCACCGACTCCTCTCTCCACCGAACGTCGCTGCCGGCGCGCAGATGGCATCCACCAACGAGATCCCGGCCGGCGCTTCCACCACTCCGACTGCTTCGACCACTACGGCCTTCGATGGTTTGCGACTTCCTACTCCACCTATCCCTTTTTCTTCCTTTTATATCTCTGTAGTTCATGCATTAGGTTTTGTGTATATACCGTAAATCTTGAACAAATATTCCTATTACGATGTATTCCGATCTGATGAATATGAATCTAACATGAATCTAACATTGGTACCGGAGCCAGTTTTATTGAAAAGAAAGATCGAACGAATGAACCAATTTCAGATCAGAAAGAATAGGAACGAACCCTAACCCTAACCCTAACATGAATGAATGAATGAATGGGGTCCTACCTGGGCCCTCATCCCGCCGGCGGCATCGCAACCGCGCGGGACAAAGAACGAGCCGTCGGCCCTCGCCGACTTGCGGGACTAGAACCCGGACCGACTAACGCGGACGCCGGTCAGGGCACCGACGCAGGGCAACTCGACGACGGCGCGCTCAGTCTTGGGCGAACGCGTGCGCCGGCGAGAAGCTCTGCGGTGGCGCCGCCGTTTCCTCTCCTCCGGCCGCCATGGGTGGCCACCAGCTGCTGCTGCTCTGCGCGTGGCTAACAGAGAAGGGGTGGGAGGAAGAAGAAGTGGCGGGGTGGCTGGATCTGCTCCGGCGGGTACCCTGCTCCGGTGGGTGCCCTTCCTCCTTGCCGGTGGTGGCCGGTCGCCATGGGCACCGCCACTGTTGTGCCACTGAGAGAGGCGGGGGGAGGAAAGAAAATGACTTAGGGTTTTGGAAACGTCTCAGCCGACGCGGTTTTGATCCCACGATGGAAACGGACAGCCGTCGGATATGATGAACGGCTCGATCTTGGTACTTGTGCACAAGGCGAAAACCCGAGCGTCACTTCTTGGGCCCACGTTAATGCCGTCTTGGGCATTGCGTGCACGGCCTTGCTCGCTGGGTTGCACGCTGCGCGAAATAATTGAGCATATTTGGGCTGAAGTGAAAAGAATTTTTTTTGTTATTATTTTCCAGGAGCAATTTTAATGCATATTTTTTTGATGAATTTGAATGATTTTGATACAATTTTTTCTGTGCAAATATTATCCAACGATATTTTGCCAGAAAACAGTAAAGTACTCAGTGCTTTTGGAAAATAATAATATGAAAGATTATTAATGTTTTCGCTGTGCATGATAATTTTTGTTCTCCTTTGATTAAAATTGAACCAACGGGATAATTTAATTTTAAAAGAAGTGATGAATTTCTGATAATTTTGATGAGATTATGATATTGTTATTTTCTGACCAACGTTGTTAATAACAATATTATAATTTTGATCCATGAGAAATTGTGCATTAATTTTACTTCATCCCAACGGTGATGTAAAATGTTTGCATGGATGAATTATAAGTTTTAATTTGACCAACGTTGAGCTAAAGCATGAAATTTTATGTATAAATGTTTCTTACTTACTCTGGTGTGGTTTCAGGAGGCAAATGCATTGTGAACATTGCCAACATCCCGACACTCAATGGGACCAATCACCGTGTGTGGCGGGAGAAGTATGAATTGGAACTTGCGTTGGGAGAGATCGATTTTGCCATCACCTCACCGTGTCTTACCGAGCCAGAGGACCCAGTGAGAGGTGAAAATGAATCTGACGCTGATTTCGCTGCTCGAAAGCGTGATCATGCTGAAATAAGAATGAAATATGACCTTAAACATAGGCAATGGACTCTCTCCAACCGCAAGTGCCTGTTGGTGGC